CCTAAACCCTTAAACCCTAAACCCTTAAACCCTAAACCCTAAACCCCCAAACCCTAAATCCTAAACCCAAAACCCTGAGCCCGAAGTCCTTTCATGTGTGTAAGGAGACTTCCCCTGGATATGGGCGTCACGCTGGTAGAGGTACTGATCAAATCGCTTACGGAGGCGGGTAGGGTTGGCTTTAGGGTTTAGGGGTTTAGGGTTTTGGGTTTGGGTTTAGGGCTTGAGTCGGGGTTGTGTTTTCATTACTGTTGTAATTATTCATTCTATTCCTATGACTATATCTATATATACAACCCTACTATAATTGAAAGGCTAACAGTTAAGGAAGCAAGCCTTGCCAGACCCACAGTCTAGGCTTCAATGTTTCGACAAACCCCTGGCGCGATTTGTGGAAACCAAAGCAACGAACCCTAAATCCTAAAACCTAAAACCTAAACCCTAAGCCCTAAACCTACAGAAAGCAACTGGCAAGGGTGCTTCCCGAACTACGGCGGACGTTGCAGATCTGCTGGCAGCCGCCGAGGTAAAGCAAGCTGGGGAGTTTGGGCAGTACGTACAGGGGTTCGCATTAGGGCTTGTATAGGGATTACATTAGGGTTTATATAGGGATTATATTGGGGGTTATATAGGATTTATATTAGGGGTTATATTGGGTTATATAGGGATAATGGAAAATAAAGTGGGAACCACTATATTGTAGGGTTTGGGGCTTGGGGTTTAGGGTTTTGGGGCTTAGGGTTCTGGGCTTGAGTTTAGAATTTAGGCCGATATGCAGGACTGGTTTAGCTTTCCGGTTGCCCTGTCCAGTACAACAGGCGTAGATTATCTAATGGCGTTCAGGGTTTAGGGTTTAGGGTGTACAGACATTTCGCAAGCATGAGTATTCGCCATCACGATCGAGACGTGTATGGCAGCGTTGATGCTGCAACGCTTGAGAAGCGTCATGCTACTTACACGTTATGTTACCTCCGACGTCTCCGTCAAGCTTCGCAAGCGACTGGCAGAATGACGCAGGTTGTCGCCATGACATTGGTATCTAGAATGCTGCCCCTGCTTTCTCATGACAACTGATATACAGGATCTTCGCTCATACTGTTCCCCATTAAAACGTAGAGACCTGCACTTTGCTGAGAAGGCTCCAAACTCTAATCTCTTGACCCTGCACGTCTTCACGGCTGCTGTGTTCGGGTGGACTTGGAACCCTAAAAGTTTCGGGTCATTTGGGCATGTAAGACTCCGGTAATGTCTCATATTGTATGCCCACCGACTGAGTATCAGCCCCGAAATCCAAGGACACGCGGAGGGCCGAAGAAGTTCATGCATGTACGGCAGAAAGCCTGTTGTACACTCTTACTGGCTGAGGGGATAACTCCCCCAGTTGGAAGCTCCCTGTCGTAATTACCTAAACCCTAGTTGTTGGAAAACTCCACGTGAGCTATCGTCTAAACGCCTAGATTCCCCATTCATTACACCTGCAATACTCCCCTATATTCTCCCCTATAGTGCACTATCAAACGCGGTCGTTGGATTTTGGGTTTGGGATCTAGGGGTTGGGTTTAAGGTTTGGGGTTTTGGGGCTATTGTAGTGGCTTAGATACTTACCAATGTCACGTGGAGGCCCCTTTCAGGTCGCCCAAGAAATGTAGGACCAAGCTTTTGCATCACATTCATAGGGGCCCTTTGGGTAGCCAGGCCCCCTCCCGCCCCCTTCTGCGACTCCGCGGCCCACCCGAGGGCTGAATGCTCAGGGTTGGGTTGGGGGCTTAGCAATAGTAATAGTAGTACTGCTTATGATAATGCTAACGGTCAACACCAGTGAGAGCAAAAAAACGAAAATAGTAATCAAGTAATCATAGCTATAATTGTAAGAACAGGAAAAAAACGGAATACATACCAATAAGAATGGCAATAATAGTAACAGTAGTAAGAGTAGCAATCATAGCAATCACAAGGCTCAGAATTTATTGTGGTCTTGCGTTTACGGCTTTAATTTAGGGATTGAGGGTTTGGGGTGGGCTTAGGGTTAGAGGGGCTGCCCTGGACAGCATGAGAGACGTTGTCTGACGTGTTCCTTTTTTTTTTTTTCTTTTCGGTGTTTGTGGACTGGATTCGAGCATTCCGCAGGAGGGCAACGAAGGAGAGGTCTTCGCAGAAGCCATGGAGAAGTTGCAGGACATGGGGGTTCGGAGTTCAGGGTTTCACTGCAAAGGCAGTCATGTTTCCCCTTACCCCTAAATCTAAACCATCAACCCTAAATCCTTCATCCTAAACCCTAAATCCTTCATCCTAGACCCTAAATCCTTCATCCTAGACCCTAAATCCTTCATCCTAGACCCTAAATCCGGAATCCTAAGCCCAAATCCGAAACCCTAAACACTAAACCCCAAGACCTTAATCCTAACCCTGAATCCTAAACCATCTACTGTAGAACCCCACACACTGGACCGTGCTTCTTGCACGTTCACGCGGGGTTGATTTAAACCCAACACAGAGGATACACGTTATGGGCCCTACACCCTAAATCCTAGCCAGCCCACAAATGGCCAAAAAATTGGAACAGCGCCGGAATGATCCTGGATTACCTCTTCCAACTGCTGCACTAAACCCCGATCCCTGAGACTTCAACGCTAAACCGTAAGCTCAGTTTACCCCAAGCCCCTAGACCTTCAACCTGAAAGCGTGCGGTGTAGTAGAAGACCCTAAACCCTAAACCCTATATTAGAAAGCATCTTGGGTCTTCAGGGTTTGCTGGTGGCTGAGGGAGCCGAGGGAGTGAATGTATATGGGGTAGTTTCCCTAAATAGGGGGAGCCCAATCTAGACCCCAAAATACAATTGTCCTTATTATGGGGACCCCTTAAGAAAGTACCCCTAATTTTGGGAAACCGCCATAGATAGTTGCTAGTATTCTGGGGTTGTGCAGAATTTTAGCAGTAGAAAGAGAATTGCTGAAGGACCTTTGGGTGCGGCCTGAAGTTCTATCCAAACGAGCTTCGTATAGTCCACAGTTGAAGGTAAGGTTCAAACGACATATGAGGGAAATGTAGTCTTACTTGCCTCAACCAGCCCCCAAAATCCAAGAAACTAAGGTCAGAAGCATGGTCCCCTAGTATGGGCCCCAAACCTTTTGAGGGAGACTGGGGATGTTTAAGGGCTCATTTAGGGTATAAACCCTAAACCCCTAAACCCTAAACCCTATATAAATCGCTACCCAACTAGGAAGGGGGAGGGCCTTCTTAACCCGAACACCAAGCCCAAAAGTACCTCCTGAGTTGCCATGCCAATTCGGGGTTTAGGGCTGAGGTCTTGGGGTTGTGGATCTAGGGTTTAGGAGTTGAGGTCTTTGGTTTAGGATTTGGGGCTCGCGTTTTAGGATTTCAGTTTGTTTGTTTACTTTGTCCGATTCCTTGTCGTGTTTCGGCAGGAAACCTCTTCAGACCTCTGGGGGTCCATTTTGGGGGGTTAGGGTTTAGGATTTAGGGTTCAGAGTATTTGGAGGTACGGTCCGGGGAGCCCTCATGTTTGGACTTCGTCCTGGCACCCCGTCGGAAAGCGTTACTGGAAGGCTCATGGGTAAGAAAAGTGGGGTTTATAGGGTTTAGACGTTTGAGGGGTATGTTTGTAATAGGGGATGTCTAACCCCACTGACAACTACTCATGAGCCTTTCAAACCCGTATCCTGAAATCATGAAAGGGTATTTCCAGACTTCCAAACATGAGGTGTCTGCTATATACCTCAAAGTCTCATTATCCTCTGCATAGTCCCTCCCAGAAAACAACCCAAATCTTTTCTCAGCCTCTACTCCACACCCTACACCCTAAACCCTAAAACCCTAAAACCTTAAAACCCTAAACAGACACTGCTGCTCCAGGCCCTCTTCGACGTGATTGAATCCAGGGTCTTCGGCGGGGGCAGCGCGCACGCCGCTTCGGTGATGCGCATGCTGGGCATGAAGATACTTCGGCTTCAGAAGAACTACTCGCAGGGGTTCACCCCAAGAGTTGTTAGGGTATTATGAGTAATGTATAGGAGCCCTATTAAGAAAATCCCTATTAAGGGGAGGGGGTTTATCAATCAGGGATCTACATTACCTTTAAAGGGGATCGGCATGAAGATACTTGGGCTTCAGAAGAACTCCTAGCTGTGTTTAGGGTTTAGTGTTTGCCATTTTGGGATAGTGGAAAAATAAGATGGAAACTACTATTTAAAGTTTCGGGTTTTGGGCTTGGGCTTAGGGTTTACCCTAAGGCGTTAGGGTATTGGGGGCACCTTTAAAGGGGATATGGGGTTATATTGGATTTATACAGGGGTTATATAAGGTTTGCCAAATTTAGAGGTGCCACTTTGAGGGTCCCAATAATAAGGACTGATTTTATTTTGGGATTTATATGTGGGTTCCATTTTTTATGGAAACTACCAGAGCAGACCTCCTAGTAATCCTATTTGGATGCTTGCACTGGCTTTTTGGTTGCTTTCCAAAAGCTAAGGGCTATTATAGCAAGAGCGTCATAACTTGGGGACATAAATACCCTAAGCCCCACATACCCGCACATAGTCTCTATATACCCTATACGTCCCATACAACCCTTTTATGATTCCAGTACAATTCGGCTGTAGCCACCCCTCCGCTGCTAAACCCTAAACCCTAAGCCCTAAACCCGTAGCCCTAAACCCTCAACCCTCAACCCTAAGCCCTCACAAACCCAAAGCCATCAGCTGGGAGCTCTTGACTCTGTGAGCAAGAGCCAAGAGTCTTAGTAGCTCCCTACATAGGGGGCCCCAATATAGACCCAGGGTTTAGGGTTTAGGGCTAAGGGCTTAGGGTTTAGGGACCAGAATACTAGTCTATTCTAGGGACCCAAAAAAGTATCCCTTCTCTTTGGAAACTTCCATAGGGGGACCCCAATTTAGACCCCAAAATACTATAGGCTACTATAGGGACCCCCATAAAGGTACCCCTTCTTCTAGGAAACTCCCATATTCAAGGGCCAAGAGACTTGTGGCTCACAGCCAGCAGGGCCTGCATCTCCTTTAGCTGCCAGCTGTCATCATCTGCGGCACTGCACGAAACTTGAGCAGCTAGCTCCTGTACGATTTCGGGCGTATTCCAACTAATTATGGTTATTCAAATCACTAACACGAAAATTATAGCTAGTACTTTTTACTCTTACTTTCACTATTATTATTAGTATTACTACACTAGCATTGTCACTCTCACTGTTAGTGCTATGGTTATTACCATTACATACTATAAGTTTTGTAGGATGTCGGGTGTAGGGTTTCTGGTTTAGGGCTTAGGGTTAGGAAGTCGGATTGCGCAGGCGCCTCTCAAAAACATCCAAAACAGAGCTGCTGGACACTCTGAGGATTGCGCAAGTATCATGTAGGGATTATCTGGAATTCTCGGAATATGCTAGCATCATGAAAATTAAAACCCTAAACCATGTTAGTTTGGGAAGTGTAGATTCTAGGTAATCAGGGTCACAGGTAGGCCGTATTCCAATACCCCAAACCCTTGGAGTCAACTTCAGCTAGTCGCCCTTAAGTAGATAGAATATGGCTTTGGGTATATTATAGGGTTTAGGGTTTAGCGATAGAATATGGCTTTGGGTATGTTATAACAAGATCCCCATATACCCCATATTCTATCTACTTAAGGGGCCCTAAACCCTAAACCCTAAGCCCTGAACCCAGGGAGACTATAGCTCCTCCACGCTGGGCAAGTTGTCCGTGTAAAGGAACTTGAGGAAGGCTCGGAAGATACGCGCGGAGCAGTCCTCGATGAAGGGTTTAGGGTTTGGGGTCATGGGGGCTTTCCCATGCTGGGGGTCCCTAAAATAGGGGCTATAACAGTCCTCGATGACGATGACCTTCGAAATGGACTCCTGTGCAGCTTTTTAAAGCTCAAACAAATGGGTGTTTCCCGAAATTAAGGGATATTACACCAAAAATGGAGAATTAAATGGAAAATGGAAAATAAAGTGGACTCTGGGGTTATATAGTGGATATAATAAGGACTATTGTATTCGGGATATTGGGGTCCCCCTACTTTGGGAAAATACCAAATCTGGCTTGGCAGGCCCTGTAACATGTGAAAAGGCGTTTTGCTGCGAAGCATACATTAAAAGAAGCAGGCCTTTCATCCTTATTCATGTCGAAAGTGCACTCCTGCATTCCGGTGGTCAGCTGGCTCTCCAGCACGTCCGACCTCACTGCCGAGTGCAATTCTTACCAATGGGGGGGTTATCCTGGCATTAGACAAGGTTTGGCTCCCTGCTGAAGCCCCTATCGCAGAACCCTCCGAACATTTACAAAAAATCCCACCATCTTGATATGCTGCAATAACCTTTCTCTGGCTGGCAGGCCTCTGGCACAAGACTGCCGAGTGTGCATGGATCACCTCGCCCTCAACCATAAAGCGAACATCACTGTTCGTGCCCTTCTCGAACAGGGCTTGCATGTCGCGGACGATGCTGGGGCCCGGAAGCTCCGCTGATAGGCCGACAGAGAGCCTGCTATCGAAGTAGCGGGGCCGCACCTCCAGCAAGCACTTCACCGTCAGCGTGTCATTCTGTACCCACTCTGACTGCAGCAGCTGCTCGTGGGTAAGGCCGAAGATGCCCAAGGCCGTCAAGGTGGCGGGGCGATGACCCTCCCAATGAACGTCAGGACCGAAACAAACTTCACGCCAATCATGAGCCACCTCAGAATCATAACGGCCGTGACCCGTCTCGCCCAACTGCACGAAGGACCCGTCTCGTGCCTTGATGTAAAGGCTGTACTGGCACGATATCTCTTCGTACACGGGAACACTCACATGTGTCCTATAAAACAATGCAAGTGATCCATGGTGCGAACCTATAAGCTGGCCGGCATCAGGACTGTAGAGCATCTGAAACTTACTGCAGCCCACGGTAAACTCTGGGCACTCCGCGAAGCGATGGCTGTCAGCCCACAGCGCATCTTTCAACCATCGCATGCCTGTCATTGTCCAAACATACTCTCCACGAGCGACCTGTTCACCGAAGTCAGTGCTCCCACTGCCGCTGAAGTTGCGGAAGACGACCCTCGGCTGCTTGGAATGGCAGATCTGCGTGTTCAGGTGCAAACCGTTCACGTCTTCATCCACCTCCTGTCGAAACGAGATTGAAAATTCGTTTGAAGCCTTTGTTCTGCGAAGTTTGTCTCTGACCTCCTCAAGCTTGCGCCGCAACTTCTGCCTCTCTTCAGCTAAGTCCACCTGAGCTACTGTCTAAACTCCTAGTATCCCCCTTAATAATGGAGAATCAAATGGAAAAGAAAATGGAAAATGAAATGGAAACGGGATTATACAGGGGATTATAGGGGTTGTAGTCTAAACTCCTAGTATGCCCCTGAATGACCCCTATACGAGTCCCCTATCTAATCTCCGATAGCACCCCTCTGAAGGAGTTTAGACTCTAGGCCATCTGAACAGGTAGCTCCGTCTGTCTCCCTGGAGCTTGGTAGGAAGGGGTGGTAAGGACAATTGCAGGCGATTATGTTAAGGTTTAGGGTCCAGGGCTTAGGGCCCTAAACCCTAAACCCTCCGGCCTTCCCTACTAGGCACCAAATAATGTTTCAGGCTACATACCACCATGATCTGACTTCACGTACCAGTGCAAATCCAGATCAAACCTTTACTCAAGACCTTGAAAGGCGTCGGGTTTTTATTACTGTAATTATCTATGGCTTGAAAGCCATAAACCCTGAACCCTTAACCCTGACCTTGAGGAACTTCGTTTCAGGAGACCGTGGGGGACCTCAGAAAGCCTTAAGAAGGGCCCAGCGAGGCTTTGCGTGTAGGGTTCAGGGTTTAGGCTTTAAGGTTTCGAGTTTACGGGAGGACCTTAGTTGTTGGTCTCCCTTCTGCTGGATCTCTGCTTGCGTCAACAACAAGACCCCGGCAGCATTGGTTTTGAGTTTAAGGTTTAGGCTTTAGGTTGGGTCATTCCCCCTCCCAGCAACTTTCCTTAAAGGGGCCTTATTAAGGGGGTTCTTATAACTCCTATAACCCATTGTGGTAACAGTTACTGTAACGGGGTATGACCCCAGGTTTAGGGTTTTAGGGTTTAGTACTACCATCCCTTGCATCCCGATGTTGCTTTTTCTTAGAGGCGGAGGCCTTCTTTGCAGGGTCGCTGCAAAAATCGTTCCAGATTTGGGAGGAATGCGATAGGGACCAAAGGACCCCATTCTCGGAAACAACCCAAACAGCCCTCTGTAGCGGGACCCCGACGCATAAATACATAAACCAAACCCTAAACTCTCCATCAGGACTGCTTGCAACTAGGCCAGGGTATACGGCCTGGTCAGTTTGAAACGTGCAGCAAACCCAGAGCTTTACTTCCAGGAGTTCTTCTTGCCATGACTGCAGTATACTGATTACTCCGTCTGTTCAGTTTGTTCAGGACCTTGGCAACATGGGAGGTGGCAGTTGAGGATTCAAACTCACAGGGCACAATATCAAAAGCCAGGCGGGTAAAATTGTGGGCCAGTTCTGGTCATAGAATATGTTGCGGCGCCTAATATTTGGGGGGGTAGCATAACTGGACCATCAGTGGGGCTTTCACTTGTAATTGGGATAACCTATACAAGGCCAGCTATGGGGGGTGATAAGTAGATCATAAGAGCCAAATAAAGACTCCGAGTAACCTGCACCGCTGAACCTCAACTTACCGGTGGCTGCTTGGGAATAAGAAATGGAATGGAAAGATTAGTAAGGGCTTAAGGGATAGGGACTACTACAGTGATCCATTGCCCCATTCCTACGAACCGCCAAGAAGTAGATATTGAGGTTGGGCCACAAAGGAACCAAAACTGCATGCAACACTAATTCAATTAAGTAGCAACAGCAAATTTGCGTACAGCGCCGCAATCTGAAACCCCCCAACCCCCAACTATAAACCCTTTCCGTTAAACCCTACCCATTGTTCTTCGGTCGTGGCTCGCTTGTTTCCCTCGTAGCACTTTTGGCCACTGCTGAAATCAAGCACCCAGCCACAGGAAGGTACTCTTAAGCACCGCAAGACTTTCGCATAATCCGTGCAAGCGAGGGAGAGGTGCTAGGGCGGGGTTGTGCTAGCAGTCTCTCCTCCTGCGCCTACTGACTGGTTGCCCCTGTAAGCATTCAGGACTGTGGACGTCTCTGTCTCCGGCATGCCCGTCATAAAGAGGCTGAGCTTCAGCATGACCTTCGCGCCATGCCCCGAAAGCTGCAGCCCTAAACGCTCTAGCAAGACCTTAAACCCTAAACAACAAACCTTCAAGCAAATGTGCAAACCCAAAATTCTCGGGCCTCGGCCCTAAACCCTGAGAACCCTAAACCCCTGACCTCGGGCCATGTCTTCATCATGTCCATGTAAGCCGGCAGCTTAACCACCTTGGAACATCCCATGAATAATGGGGAAATTTTGCACCATGTCAAATCTCTGAAGTCCGGGCAAATTCAGTAGTTCAGGGGCTCTAGGTTGTGCAAGATTTCCTCCCCTAACAGTATGGATGTTGTGCTTTTGATGATTTTCGATTTTAGGGTTTGGGGTTTGGGG